ATATGTATATATTGACACCTTTGTTCATTGTAATAGACAAAGTAAGCCAGGATAGTAATTGTAATCATTACCAAATATATTTTTTTATGTCTTTTATACATTCTTTATAAAACACATGAAAGGATTGTGTTTTATAACTAAGTTCTTGAAACTTTTACAAAACTTTAAAATTATATGAAGGATATTTCTTTTTAATTCTACATAGTGATGTGCAGTATTATCCATGTATCAGTATATCCCAATGTTGTTTTGAAGCAATTCGTATTGCAGTACTAACTTGGTATATCATACATAAAACTTCCACAAAGGAGCTTTACTTTCACATATATATATCCTGTAAAATATGATTTGCCACATTGTCTTGTTGCATTGGTTATTGATTATTTATATTTGTCTCATATTCATGCATATTTTTACATAATTTTAATGTAAAAATGTGATTTACTCTGTTGACTTGTTGCACTGGTTAATGATAATCTATTCTTGTCTCACAGTCATGCATTTTGCAAAGTATGCTACCCAGAAACCTTTGAGCATAGTAACATGTTGAACATCAATTGGCAGATTCAGAATGTACAAAAGGAAAGATGGATGTATGGCAAAATTATGGTTTGAAGAAGCATAAAATGAATCAAAGGTTTAAGACATTACTTAAGATTCTTGCCCATAGTATATTGGGATACAACTTGGTTATCACAGTATATTGCAATAAAAATAATTGGGCATACCTAGTTCCTTATATAATTACACATATCCATGTGTCAGTCCAAAAATGTCATCTCTTATGCACATATGGTGTGAAACTGGTTCTTCCCTTGGTCAGCATATCAACCACTCCATTTTATGAGAGAAAAGTCCAAGGACATAGTGACATAGTGGAATGAAATTTTCTGAGATGATACCACACCTCTACACATAGTTTAGCTATTTTCCCCCTTTGCATCTTCCTTAGAGATTTGCATGCCACTAGCCTTTAGTGAACTCCCACCTAATCTTTTTTTGCACTTTTCTACTTCCTCCATCTTTTTTTGTATTTTCTAATTCCTTGCTCTTCCCTTTTACTTGAATTCAATGGCATCATGTGGGCCTTTGCTTGCAATATTCATGGCCTGGGGCTGGCACTTATACATGCCTTCTTCATGATGGTTATCTTAACTCCTCCATGCACATGGAATTTGCCCAATCTGTCACCCGTCAAGCTAGATTTTCCACTTTTGTGTCACTCCTCTTGTAATCTTTTCACTGCCTTTTTTTTCTGTCAGCAACTGTGATGGGTGTCTTATTATTGAACTTTCTGCCACTCTCTTCCTCTTAGCAACCATCCTGTAATCACCTTTCTGCCTTTTATTTTTCCTTGACTGCTCGTCATTAGCTTGTCAGTCTGTACCTCTTGTAATTCTCAGGAGGCCTTGTCCATGGCCTTTCATATTTCCAAGTACCACAAGGTGTTTCTTTCCCTGTCCTCTCAGTTCCATTCCTTCTTTCTTTTCCATCCTCTTCATCCTGCTCCCATACCTGACTTGAGACCATAATGAGGTTTTCATAACCTGGTGCTTTCCTCCTTTTGTACCATCTCTTTACTCTGACTTATTTTCTCCTTCTCACCAACTGTTACTGGTCTTCATATGTCTATCCTAGGACTGCTTCCACTGCATTTCTATATCCCTCTCCCCAGTCTGCTAGGATTTTTTGGTCACCTTTCTGGATTGAAGGACTGATGGGATCAGGGCATTTTCTCCTGATCTCTGCACTGTAAATTACCCCCTTTTTCACCAAGTGAAGCATGGGAGACCCTTTTCACTTCTTAGGTGCTGAGATGGTTGTTCATGGAAAACCCTCACCAGTTGGACTTGAACATTGGGGCAATTTACAATTGATTACCAATATGGAAGGAAGTAGGGTGGTGATGACACTGTCAGTGAAGTGCAGGTCATCCCTCATATAGCCATAGATATTACACATGCAACTTAAACATACACCATGATGCTGTACTCTGAGCAGAGGAAATTGATAAACTGCATGAAGAGGTGAGTATGTATCAAAAATACATTTTCAGGTAAGGAAAGTGTAAACTTTCCAGCTTGCCACTAACTCTACCCTACTTTTGTTATGATGAAGGTTGGGATCTTCAGTAGTTCTTCACTTAAACTGTTGTTACAGGCATATTTTTCTACACATCACAAGGTTTTAGTGAGCTACATCCAAAATGTAATTAAATTACTTTCTTATCATGATATATGAATAAACTTGGCCTAAAAATGTACCTAATAATCCAAATTTTTACATTAAATATGTTTTAAGTTCTTAGTGTGAGAATTTGGACATTTGCTCTATAGGTATCCCCTCTTCTCTAATTTATTTATCACCCCTCCAAGAAGTATGAAATTTAACGTAAATTACTCATTATAATGTTGTCAGACAAAGCACAATTTTAATATTCTTCAATCTTATTTGGTTACAGAGACATAAAATAGAAAATCAGATCCCTTTTACCATGCCCACCTCTTTCAGAAATTGCCAATAGTTCTGTGAGACGTTTATACTATATTATTTATAACCAATAGAAAGCCAAGATTTTAGTCTATCAAATGATGTATTATATTATATTGTCTTCTGTACAGAGAATTGTCTGTTTTGTTTCCTGTTCAAACTTTATTCCCATGGTAAACACATTGATGAATTTTTAACAGTGATTTTCACATAATTAGAAAGCCACAGAAATTGTGATAGTTATGGGACTTTGTATGATTGTTACATGTTACTATTCTGTGTTCTTTGGTGTATTATTTAATTATTTAGTGCAGTAGTACCATTAGTATAAAAAAGTAGGGATAAGTGTAATCGACAGTCAACAGAAAAAGAAATAAAAGACCCAGATAAGTACTTTATTTCTGTTTTTCATGGGTATTTATTTATTATTATAAAAGTAGCTAAAATGCAAAAAATGAGAAACTTTTTAGGTTAGGTAAGGTTAGATTAGGTAAAATAAATAATAATAATAATAAACATTTTTCACAAGGTAAGCTCATGAGCAACTTGTGAGTAGCCCATATGTTATGTGATTTGATAGGGAAAGATGAGGTACAAGTTTGCCAAATGATTTACAACTTGTATGGCATGAATATTAGTTAGAGATGGTTGAAATGACAATAAAACAATAAAATTTAAGTATAAACAAATGTTATGAAGTTGATGCTATTTAGGATGAAGAAATGTAGATTCATGCTACAATTAGAAGTCATTCTAGAAAGAAAAAAAGGTAATTTAGATTTATTTCAAAGGTCAATCAAATTAACTAACCTCTGAATAGAGACAATAATGGATAAAATATAAATTGTACTGAAAAAAAAAATTGAAAGTTATTTAGGAGGTTGAGATTATGCAAATGAAATTTGAGATTTTTCAGCTGAAAAAATGAATTTTTAATCTTAAGATGAAAATTACTTTGCACTTGGAACAGTCAACACTTGGCTTCTTATATTCATGGGGAAATTTTTAATGAAAAGACAATTAAAAATTTAGATTTTTTTGTCTACAAATGACTGTTAACGATTACTGAAAATTTGCAACATTTTTTGAAGGATACACAAAATGTATTAAAAGTTATAGTTTGGAAACTATAAAGATTAATTTGGGGTTTTGAATTCAGTTGATTTAGCCGAATTCATGGTGAGGGTTAATATCCTTTTTGTTACCTGAAATACTAATAGTTAAAATATTAATACTTGAATAAAATGTATGTCTCATTGAAAATTAAAGCTCATTATTCTCTTTGTACTAAACATCAAGACAAATATAAATCTATTATTACATTTCAAATACTTACCAGCTTTCAGACATAATTTTTGAAAAACTTTGTTCAACTAATCATCACTAAATGATATTGATGAAACAAATAATTGGTCACTTTTGTGTTCATTTTACAAGATATTTTTGTAATATGCTTAAACAGTTCACAAACTTGATAAAGTACTACTTTATACTTTTTATTTTAGTACTTCATATCCATCTTCTGACATGTTAGTATAAGAATTTCTAATAAATAAAGGTCTTAAAAAGGACACTCAGTTATTATTAAAAATAAAGAAAATAGTTAGATTTTTAAATAATTGTTTAATATGTGTGAGGTTGTTTTTCAGAGTTGAAATAGAGAAAGAAATTACTAGTGTGTAAATACAAATACTTACTAATCTAAACTATGTTCTTGATATGTTATATTCTCTTATATGTGATCATACTTGTTAACATTTCTACTTTCAACTTTCGTTTTTTTTAATTAAAGTAAAAATTTTATTTGTAAATTCAAGAAATGAAGTTATCTCAACCCATTTCATTTTCCTAAAGCAAGGTTGTTGATCATATGCAGAGATAAGTTTTAAATTCTGTAGTATGTTTGTCATTTTTTTTACTATAGATAGGTTTCAAAACTATACAAGTCACATAACAAACATAGCCCATATAAAGTTGTGGTGGAATGGCATATATGTGAACTACATTTGGACATTGCATGGTTTTTCATAGTTATTGTGATGCCACCTAAGATTGATTGCTTTTGGAAAGGGTATGGAACAGCCCTTCCAAATTGAAAAGATTCATACACTCAGATTTTAAAAATATGTTCAGTCTTAGGTCATGTAAATAGAATCTCAAAGAAAGAAATATCTCTTGTACTTAATGGCATTGGAAAACAAAGGAATATGGAACAAATTGATTACCTGGACCATCCAGAAAGAGATTTGCAGGAAGTTGTACCCCAGCCATACTATTCCATAAGAAGGCATGCTGGTCAAGTCACCAAATGCAGTATCTATGGATTTATTAGCAATCATATTGTTGAAACTAGTTCTGTATGACACTACATAGATAAATTATGGAAAGCAGTATGGAGGAGGGGTGTGCTTTGAACATGAGATATGTTGTGTGGAATCTTTTGCAATGGAAATTATGCTAGAGGGCTATTGTCAAGAAGCATGGTAATCAGACAGAGCATGACTATATGTGGCAACATGGACTGTAATGATGTGGTGAGATTTCAAAAGGCATTTTCACAAAAATGTAACCAATGTCTGTATCATACAATGCTGCTAGTATTAACTATTTGTACAGTTTTATAATATTTTTGCTGTAATATTTCATATTTTTTGTAACAGGCAGGCATAAGGTAAATAAATTTCTTTTATAGCGTTTTAATATGAAAAGAAAAAAATAAATTTTTTGAAACATTGTAAAATTATAACTAGCCAAATGTTCTTTTATATAAGTGAATGAAGATTACTTGTAAGTTGTTTTTACTAAAAGGCATATAAAGGTAGTACTTTCGTCAGTGTTCTTCTTCATAAGAAGAAAATTTTAATTAAGGAGGCCAACGTTTGAAGGTGAACGCAACATGTCTCAGCCATACAATTACAACAGAATCAGTTTTTATACTAGAAAAATCAAATTTGTATCTCATTGCTTGAGACTTACAGGAATATATCTTTTTACCAAATCCTATGTAAGTTGGCCGGCATATATGTGAATATTTCACGAAAACCCAATATTGTGCTTTGCTTGCTGAAAAATTTAGCAAAAGACAAAAATTCCAAAATTGTCTCTATCTTTTTGGTACCTATAAAAGATTATCTTTTTACCAAATCTCATGTAAATTGATCAAAATACAGTGGAGTAATTGTAAAAAAACCCTAAAATTATGTATTTTATGGCATCTTGACCTGCCTATAACTACTAAAAGTGGGCAAATCTAACATTTTTGTTAGTCAATGGGTGGGGCCTGTAGAAAAGTATCTTTGTACCATATCCTATGTAAATTAGTCAAAATACAGCCAAGTAATTGATTACAAAAGTATGCTTTTTTATGTGCTCAGACCCCCCTTAAAAAAATTAAAAATAGGCAACTCTAACATTTTTGTATGTCGATGTATTGGGCACAGGAGCCCAAAATATTCCTTTTGAAGTTGTTTGACCTTTGAACCCATAAAATCTTTAAAGAGGCTTAAATAAAAAAAATTAAAAAGCTATCTGTGTGTATTGCACCAAGGTATAAACCTACCAAGTTTCAAGCCAATCTGCCAAGAAGTGAAAGAATGGTGCTCAATTGAAAAGTGTTTGGAAGGAGAATGAATAGAAAAACAGTATGTTTCTCTGCAGAGGTGTAATCATGTTTCTTGTTATTTACTGCATTAATATCGATGATAAAAATTTTTTACAAACATCTCTGAATTGAGATTCTTCTTAATGTTCAAAATGTTTATACAAACATTTTCTTTAAGTTTTTGTATTGGAATAAAATCAAGGTGTTTAACTGCCATGATATGATTGAGGTAAATAGTATTGGTGGTTAAACTTAACTTGTTTATCATTACTGTGTACAGAAAGTTAATATCCTGTGTTATATTATCAGCATTAGCACACATGACAAAACAAGTTTTTATACAGTGGGAAACAGCCTAATGTGCAGTGCTTAGAATGGAGGAAAAGAGAAAATGGGATGGTTTGTGAAATTTTTTAATCTGAGTACTACATTTCTTGGTTTTCACATGTATTCTTTATTATTATTATAAAGGTAACTAAAATGTAAAATTAGAAACTTGTTAGGTTATATAAGATTTGATTATATAAGATAATGAAAAAAAATCTTCACAAGGTATGCTCACAAGCAGCTCGTGTGTTATGTAATTCACTATGGTAATGTGAGCTGCTCATTTGCCGAGTGATTTACAACTTACGTGGCAGGATTATTAGTTATACTTGGTTCAAAGGTCAATAAAACAATAAAATTACATATAAACATTTGTATATTGTTGTGAGTTATAGTATGAAAACTGACAGTTGCTTTGTGGTTATGAACTCAGTCACATCAACTGACCCTGTATCAAGAGGGTTCATTTGCTATATCTACTTTTTGCCTCATCATTACACGACATTTTAAGAAGAAGAAAAATTTCTATATGATATCTTACCTCCTCTCACATTTCCCATCTGTCCTTCCCACTTCCATTGTGGTTTGGTGTGATCTACCAATCTCAAAATGGTTAGCAGCTGGAAGATTAGAGAGGGTGCTAGTTACAATAGGGTGGAAGATTGCTGCATAATCACTTGCATGTTAATATGCAGAAATAAGTGGGAGTATCAAGTATAATAGCGATCGAAAATTTGTACCAATAGAGGGCAGTATAAGTGGAGAAAGCTTTTTGTGAGGGTTCATTTGCTATATCTACTTTTTGCCTCATCATTACACGACATTTTAAGAAGAAAAATTCCGATATCATATCTTACCTCCTCTCACATTTCCCCACCTGTCCTCCCCACTTCCATTGTGGTTTGGTGTGATCTACCAATCTCAAAATGGTTAGCAGCTGGAAGATAAGAGAGGGTGCTAGTTACAATAGGGTGGAAGAATTCAAATTCGATGATGAGGAAACCACTTTCAGAAGTACCTGATGATGACAAAACCTTGTCGAAACATTGTACATTTGCTGTTATGTTAAAATTATATTAAAGTTTTTCTTCATTACCCATTCAAGCCGTCTCCAACCATTAATTGGGTGGAAGGTTGCTGCATAATCACTTGCATGTTAATATGCAGAAATAAGTGGGAGTATCAAGGATAATAGCGATCGAAAATTTGTACTAATAGAGGGCAGTATAAGTGGAGAAAGCTTTTTGTGAGGGGAGGTAAATATCTATCAGAAATACTTTTACAGTTTAGGAAAAGTTAACATTTCTCTCCCCATTCTTTTGTCACTGTAAATGTTTTTTGCATCATCTATTGAACTTTTCCCTTCTGAGAAGCATACAGTCTATTACAGATGATTCTGATATATTACTTTACCTCTTCTCACATGATAGCTTATCTCATTCAGTGCTGCCCTCCATATATATGCAACATTTTCTCACCACAACTTTGATACTCCCATGTGTTTAAGCATGGTACAGCTGCAGTTTAGCCTGCAAATAAGCATGTGACAGCCCTCCATCAATTGGAATGTGACACACCCTCCTACTGCACCTGACTCTACTTTTCACTCGCATTTACTTCAATCATTTTCTTTTTCAAAGATTTTGTGGAACAACTGTTTTTATTGTTTCCATGTTTCTACCTTTTCTTTACATTACCTTGATACTGTAGGTTAACTTCATAATTCCCACTCTCAGTTTGAATTATGAATTCACAATTTCAAGTTACAACAATTTCTACTGTTGTTACTACTGCCACTGAACCTTAAACAGAAGTTTATCAGACTTTAGGTTCCATTATTTCTTCTGAGAAGGTTTTGGTCATAATTTGCTGTGAGTTGAAGTCCATCATGCAGCCTGCTGTGTCTCCTGACTCAAAACCAGACATATCATTTCCTGGGGAACCTGGTCAGGATGATGATGATTTGGATAGCCTGTTCCCACCTCCTTTCTTTGCCATGCAATCCTGGGTCACACCCGTGGATGCCACAAAGCTTTTTCCGTCTTCCTTAGTATGGTGTCCCAGGTATGTTACCTTTTGTCTGTATCCTGTGTGTTATGATTCCTTTCTTTTCCTCCTGCATGCCACCCCCTTTCCTAAGATTATCTTGTTTTCCTGCCCTTTCCAGACATCAGGGTCTATGCTGATCAGTTTACAGCACAATGTCTCATCTCCTTTCATGCCTCTGATTCCTATGCATTAGCATATCATCATCTAATGTGAGATTTTCCCAGGGCCAATTTTTCCCTTCTCTGTTTGTCCCTCACCCCTCTTCTGTGTTACCTCTACTCTGTCCATCTCCTCTCCAAGGCTTTCCACTGTTACCCTGAGGAGCTTCAGTGGATACTCGCTCCTTCCTGTCTTCCACGTTGGTGTACCTGTCCTCCTCTGCCCTTTTCCTACAAACATGGCTCCTCTGTTGTTGGGATCTCCTGGGTAGGGATATGTTTTTAGCTCATGTACACCTGCCCAATTCTTGTTTGTATGTCTTTGTATGGCTTAATTTTTATGCCAATTAATCTTTGGAGAGGCCGCTCATTAACTCTTTCAGCACGTAACCATTTTGTGCTTCTTATAGTTTTCATGCTATAACTTTTAAACTAGTAAGCATATGTTAATGATATTTGGCAGATTATCAGTAAACATTACAATGCTTTCATATGCAAAATATAATTTTTTTATTAAGTCTTAAGGTTTGTAAAGTGATGTTTTTCTCATTCCTTTAGTTTCCTTTTCACATGTTGCCTATTCAACATGCAAAGTAATTTTAATTTTAAGATTAAAAGTACTTTTATGCATCAGAAAATTTTCAAATTTCATACGTGAAATCTTTATAATGTCCAGATGGTTATCAAATGTTTCTTAAGAAAAAAACTATTTTATCTGTTATTTTCAGTAACAAATCTCTGTACGGGTTTGGTAAGACTTTGTAACGTTATTCAGTGTAAATGCTTTTAGTCAAACCTGAATTCATGCAAATAAAAGGAATTCAACACTTAGTTGTAATTATAAGTTTTCCTTGAAAGATTTGTCTACTTATGTAGGGATTTTTATATAGTTTTGTGTATTCATCCCTACCTTGTTTCTGTACTTGTTGGTATTGCCATTCCTACATCATCCTTATTTTTTTAAATTATTTTCATTACTTGTATCATGTGTAATCAAAGCAAAATTACTGGTGTTTATGTTTTTAATATAGTAATGGAGTTGCTGATCATTACAAATGTTTAAAAAATATTCAAATGTAAAAAAATAATTTTATTCATGAAAGATGAGTTATTCTGTTAAAATAAAATGTTTTGTATAGAAATAAATTGTTAAAAATCAGCATGATTACCTTAAAGTTTATATTTTAGTGTTTTCAGGCTTGTTTCTTATTCTTTCCTATTAGAAAAAAAGTTCACATATTTCTAACTTTGTTTAGCTCTTGTATACGAGTTTTTGTGTATCTAATAAACTAAGACCAGTTAAAACCAAGTTTATGAATAATGTACTTACTTTATAATAGTCCTAAAATTAACATAAAATCATAACTATAAATTGGAATTCTGATTTGTTAAATTTTAGGAATGCCTGTCAATTGTGAATATTAAATTTGATCATCTGTTTTACAAGAATGAGTAAATTTAGAATGTAGTTTAGCTTTTAATGCTTACTCGTGAATTAACTTTGATATGTTTCAGTCTTAGATCCTCTTCCCCAGAACCCATTGAAAGAAACGTATGGCATTCATACTAATAATAAGTCAAATTTGCTAAAACGTTTCTAACATTAGAGTTTATTAAGATAACAGCACCATATGAAAAACAGACAAAATATTTTTCATTTTATGTGATGTTGCTCTCAATTCATTATACTTTGTAGATGAAAAATGTTGAGTACCATGCCAAGCATTTCAAATTTTTGAAGCTTTTTTTGCTTTAATTTCCTGCAACATTACATTAATTTTTTTTCTAGGGAGAAATGAATATCTGCACACTTAAATACAGCTCTACTTTTTTAAATTTTCTACCTGGTGTCTAGAAGAATGTGTTAAGAATTTCAGATCTAAGATTGTACTTATTTCATATTTCATTTATATTCATCTTTCTTAATATTGAAGTAATATAATATGTTGAGGATTTTGTTTTCTTTCAGAAAAGTATGAAAACACTTTTCTGAAAATAGACCTGATATGGTCTGGTGGTTAGGGTTCTCAACTTGTAATCTGTCAGTCTTGGATTTGAATCCCTGCGAAATTGCTTGTCTTTTCAGCTGTGAGGGTGTTATAATGTGATGGTCAATCACACTATTCGTTAGTAAAAGAGTAGCCCAAGAGTTGGTGATGGGTGGTGTTGACTAGCTGCCTTCCCTCTTGTCTGTCACTGGTAAAATAAGGATGGCTAGTGCAGATAGCTCTTGTGTAGAGTTGCGCGGAATTCAAACCAAACTTGTCAGAAAATAGAACAATACGTTTGCTGTCGGGATTGTTATTTTATTGTAAAATATATCTATCCACATTTGTTTTTTTTTAATCAACATTGTAAACTGTGTACTGAATGGGTTACAGTAGCAGAGATTGGACTTTGCATACACATGCAGAAAAAATTACCTTCTATTTTAAAAATAAAAGCTGCAGACTATACATTTTGTAATTTGCTGGGAGGACTAATTCATTTCTTTTACTGCTAGATTGTACATATTGTTAGTATTTTTGAATATAATTTTTGCTTTTACCATTAATTAATGTCTTGTAACTTCCAACTCGCAAAAAGTCATTTAAACTTTAAAGTTTGGGAGATAATGAACTTCAATTATCCAATAAAATTTCAGTTTTAGGATTTCACCATGTATATGATTTAGCTTATTTTTTTCCAAGCTTTTTTTATATTTTAAGATATAGGTATACCGTTGCAAAACAAAGCAATTTGGTTGGAGGAACTCACTGAAAAACTGGGGAAAAGTACAAGGTATTTTGTTTTGCTGTAGTCCTTTTATTTTGTGTTTAATGCAATTTATCATTCAGTATCCATATACGTTCATTTATATTAATACCTGTACCTTGGACCACATATTAAAAAAACTACAGAATTTTTTATATCAGTTTGATTTTTTACAATGATATAAAAACTCTGTCTGTCTTAAGCAGACTTAGCTGAGCAAGGGTGCTAGCTTAAAATTTTTTTCTTTATGATAGACTAAAATAATTTAATAATATGAAATTTAAATTTTAGCAAAGCACTAATATATTAATTGTGATTTGCAATTTTTCAACACACATTAACTTGTTTTAATAAAAGGTAATAATAATTGATTATATTTTGTCAGCAACAACTTGTTGCTTGTTATTTTACTTTTTTAGTATAAAGCAGTAGAAAACTTTTCAATATATGTTGAAGCACAGTGGATTTTGTAGCTATATACAACAGAGGCTGTACAGGATCTTGAAAACTTGGAAGTCTTGGAAAACAGCTTTAACAAAATACAGTTCAGGAATAACCTAGAAAATTGGCATTTTGTTATAGAGGCATAGAAGTTTTTTAATTAGGTACTTGAGTTGGCGCACTGTCCGTGCTTTTTGATTGGCTCACCATCTTGTCAGTCAACTGTATTCTCATGTGAGTTCTGTGCTCACCATAGCTGGTTGATGAGGTTGCAGTTGCTGCTTAATCATGATTTAGTTGGTTGTACGTTTAGTTCTTAAGCACTATTGTCAAAATGCTTTAAACTCTCAAAAATATCAGGCAAGAGCCATTGTAATGACAAATGGCTAGAGGTCACATTTACAGAGAATTCTGCATTATATAATAAAATTTAAAAATTATAACAGCACTGTGTTTTTAAAATGCAGATGAACAAGATTTACTGATTCAAATCGCAGATGTATTTTACTCATAGCAACATGAAAAACATTCCAAACATCCTCTTAAAAAATGAAAAAGCCCTGGATGTTTTTATCCAAAAGCCATATACCAATGAAATCTATTGCCAAATATGCTCACTCTTTTAGCCATGGAGGTGTCGTAAGGTGATGGTCAATCCCACTGTTGGTTGGTGGGCGACAGTTCGAAAGTAGGGATGGTGGCAGATAGTTTTAGTTGCTTTGCCATAAACAGACAAACAACTTTTCTAGTTCTCTTCTTATTCATTCCTTAAGGTTTTCAAGTTTTATAACTTAAAGTTATAATTATCAAAAGTTGTTTTAAGGAATAAATAGACATTACTATAATTTTTTATGTTGTTGACTTTAAGTTTAGGCTACTTCTAGAATATTCAAAATACTAGGTTTTTACTCTCACTAAGTACACATTTGTTTAATGAAGAAAATATAATTCATTGGGATTAATGTAAAATAAAAAGCAACTGTAGCTGGAAATATGTATGTAATTACAATAATATTGTTATTTTAAAATTTTACACCTGTAAAATGTTGTAAATGATTTTTGAGTATTAATTTATAGTAAAACACAATAATATGAAAAAAATTAGTTATAAAAAGTTCCTAAAAGTCCCTGATTTTGCTTGGAAAATTTGCATATAAACCCTTTTTGGTGTTTCTTGTAGTCTGTTGATGTATGGATAGTTATACTTTTCTGTAGATGGTTTGAAACTTAACATGAAGTTTGTGTTTGTCATTAAACTGGGTCTTTACCACATAAAGTTAATCTTTAACTACAAGTGTTTGGAGTTGTCAAATATATGACTATTTGAGATCTTTCTTTGCATCATGTTCTTAACTTTATCTTCTTTATTAAGAAAACCTTCTGCCAAATATCTGAAGTTGCATGCAATAAATTGTTCTAACTTGTGTACACATTATAATTTTTACCAAGAAAATTACAGTATTTAATACTTGATAGTTTTAGGTTCTAAAAAAAAATAAGAAACTAGTTTTTCAGAACTTATGTTACAAGTACTAATTTAGTTTCTCTTTATAAACTACCTGTTTGTTAAATTTTTCTTGCAGCACTCCTGTAGAATCATACAAGCTTCAAGATCTAGAGAACAAGATTAGTCAGTTGCAACAGGATTTGGCCAAGGTATTGGAAGAAATTCAATAAGCTGCTGCTTTTAAATCCCTGAAATCATTATAGCTGGAAATGTGTATGTGTAATTACAGTAATATAGTTCTTTTGAAAATTTAAACCAGTAAGATATTGTAGATGATTTTAGATTATGTAGTTATAGTTCCATGAAAAAAACTGCTGAAAACTGATTAATCACGATAAGAACTTCTGAAATCTGTTTCTATCTTTTTTTTTCTTCAATTTCTCTTGAAGCTGGCTACCTTTTAAAACTGTTTAAATTAAAAAAAGTTCTTTCTATTCAAGCATTTTGTGTTTTTATTCTTGTATCTTTAGTTTTAGAATTAATTTTGTATCTTTAGTTTTAGAAGTAACCTTGTATCTTTAGTTTTAGAATTAATTTTTCTTTTATAACTTAAGAATTTATGTAATATCTCTAAAGAGAATTTTGTAAAATATTCTAAACACTTTTCTTGGTGTAAGGAATAATATAAACCTCATAAAAGTTATAGATGTCAAAACAATGCCAATATGAGTTCTTTCTCTAGCAAGAAACCACTTCTAATTTTTTCCTTACTTTGAATACTTTACTTAGTATAAATGCTTTGAACTTTTCTTGTTAGCTTAATTCAAAACTTTTGTAATATTTTACTTCAATACTATATATGTAAAGTTCAAGCTTATCCTTGTTTAAAGCAGTTCAAAAATGTTCCATTAAAAGCATTTTAGACATCATTCCATTCAGTTAAGGACAGAAAACAGCTTAGCTGGTCTCCTAAAGCAACTATATTGTTATGGGTTTTGCAAAATGGTACAGCATAGCATAGAAAGTGCACATTCTATTAAAAAAAAACTTTTTCAAGGCATGGTTTGGTGGTTAGACATTCAACTTGCAATTTGAGGGTTATGTAATCAAAACCACATCACCTAACATGCTCACCCTTTCAGTCGTGTGGACATTATAGTCCTATTATTCATTGGTAAAGAGTAGCTCTATAATTGGTGGTGAGTGGTGTTATGTAATCAAAACCACATCACCTAACATGCTCACCCTTTCAGTCATGTGTACATTATAGTCCTATTATTCATTGGTAAAGAGTAGCTCTATAATTGGTGGTGAGTGGTGTTGACAAGCTGCCTTCCCTCAAAATAATGGATGGCTAGTGCAGATATTCCTTGAGTATATTGTGTGAAATTCAACAACTTTTTTTTCAATAATTGTTTTTAACTTGATGGATGTTAAACACATTTCTTGAGGTTTTATTTTATTATAATGGTTTCAGTAATAATTAATTGAGATATAACATTTTCCTTACAAAATATACACATCTGAAGATCGATTCCTTTGAAAGTATAGGTTTCTTTTTAGTGAGTGTAAAACACGTAAATACACCAGTTTGATTTTCATGTGAAAATAGTTTAACCACTTGGTTTACACAAAGACTAATACTCATGTCGTCCTTGTGATACGTGTTAAATTCAAGGTTTTGTCTTTATAGGAACAAGGTCAAAAGGCCACCCTAGAGGAAAAGCTGAAGAAGCTTCAAGAAGAAAACTTAAGGTTACAAGAAGAATCTCTATCTACATCAGTTCAACTTCGACGTTTTACTGAATGGTTCTTTAATAATATTGAGTAGATAATCCATAGCGTTGACTTTGAAGGATTCACACAGTATTGTTAAAATTCTGTAATATGATTGTTGTGAGTCCAAACTTCAAAGTCAGACATGATTGTTCTACATATACAGGCAGAATGATAAATTCTAACATCTGTTCAGGTGTCACTGTTCAAGTATCAGAACAAGATTAACTTTTCATTAGTTTGCAATTGATACTGTACACTCTAAGACTTTCATTATTATTTGCTGTATTTTCTTCAACTCTTTCTCAAAGAATGACAATTAAGAAAAATTACATCATAGCTTCAGCCAATAATAGACCAAGTGAAATTAGTATGTGAATAAAGAGTATAGTTATTCCACAATATGTAGAAGGAATGTTTAAAGAGAAAAATTATAGTTAGCAAATTGGAAGATAATTTGTTGTTAAATAGACTGTCTATTAATAAATATTAAACCTATTAGTAGATGGAAAAGAGAATGTATCATACATATTTTGAATAGCATGTTTGTCAAGATGTAAACTTAGGCTGGTGGTACTATCTAGAATTTTAATTTAACATTCAGATAGGTTTAGTATGATGTACAAAACTACTCGAGTCTACCATGTCTTCACCAAGTGTCCTTATTAATGCTCTTCTACCAAAGAAGTTATTCCAGAGTTTTGTTATAAAGTACTGTAGAAAGAGACATGTAATATTAAAGTGTGGGATCATGATTTAGATTAACATGGATATTGGTCACTATAGGGTATTATGAAAATGCTGTATCGTGTAACAGTGTCTAACCAGGGGCCAGCAATATGCCTTCTTACAAAATAAAACTTTTTTTTTGTAAAGTATATTTAAATTTTTATAATCATATTTTGATTTGATCATATTTACTTGTCATGAATCAGCACTTATTTTTTATCACTAGTCAGGATACATTGTATTGATTGATCTTTATGTATATAACTTTATGTACATAAAATTCCAAACTTTAATAAAGTATTATATGTAGGATTTTCAGATTTTGTCTGGAAGTTTTTAGTCTACTTTTTTTAGTAATAATGACAAAACATTTACAGCTCCTGTTGTAATATTAACATGATGCTAAAATGAAATATTTTAATCCAAGATATATTAAACGGAAAAATTGCAAGTTATGTGCAAGGTAAGATTTGTATATCAACAGTACTATGTTAAGTCTGTAAAGTTAAAAAGCCACAAAAGTTCCTGATTACATTCAAGTAGATACTCCTTGTTTTTTTAAACTTTTCTTTCATCACCAAAATTATGAAATTCAGTAAGAAATTTGAAGTTCAGACTGTTTTTGGATTCATCTTCTGTAACTGAAGTAGACTGGTTTCCTTTCCTCATCAATAACCGTGGACATGGTAAATTGAAGAACTAGACCAGTGATGAACTGTTATTTGAGGTTATGGGTTATCTTTTAGTCACCATAAGTAATTTATAACACTATAACCTGAGAACTTTCATCTTCATGCATAAACTAGAAAACTGTGTTTTTTTTCTAACATCATGAACAAGTTACCCATGTTTATATAGGTAGTTGAAGAATAGCATTTATAATGCTGCTTTTTCTTTAAAATCTAGGATATAAGTATTAATGTTATTTATTCTTCAAATGCCTATATACTTAAAGGTTACTCCTGGTAGGTAAAAAACAACTCTACCACCATTCACACAATGATCTGATCCCATATTTTGGTGTTCTGCTGTTTTTGTGTCCGTTATGTAAATGAATCTTCTCAAAATGAAGTCAGTGTATTACATAGCAATTTTTCCACATTTCAGCATTTAAATCTTGGTTTTCGAATCAACCAGGTTGATAATACACCCATATAGTGATATTGAAACCTAAACAGTCTGTTACATGTATCAAATCAGAAATGTTCACAATGAGACTAAAAAATCAAAAATTATTTTTGAATTACTAGTCCTTGTCATCATCATCATTAACTTATAGCAAAAAAATGTCTGTGGCCATAGCTCCAAATACATTAGGGATATTCCATCTGACAGACAAGATCCAAAGTAAAGATTGAAAAGGGTATTTGTACCATATGTAGTAGAAAATGTTGCTTAATGTGTATAAATAGATAACTTGAACTGAGAAAAATATTTGTTGGACCAAAAAGGTGGGAATCATTTATGGTGAAAAGTTCTTTTGATCAACACAACTGTGTAAGGACAACAAGGGGTATTTGGTCCATCTAGGTTGTCTCATCCTCTAACCTAAACTACAAAAATTAAATAAAAAAAACACCTCAAAGCCAGCCTTTATCATTTGTGCAGTTATCAAGTTTTCTCTAAAACTCACTTAAATTTGCTGCCTCCACAACGTCTAAAGACAACACATTCCAAAAGCCAACCACCCTATTAGAAAAATAAAACTGCCTTAGCTGAAGATGACCCTGCTAAAATTTATATTTGTCCCTTAGTCCAACAATTTTTATTATCAAATCCAAAAAAGATGGTGCATCAACACTATCAACTCCCTTTACAATTTTAAACACCTCAATGAGATCCTCTCCAATTCTTTTTTCAAAAGAAAACAATTTAAGAGATTTTAACCTCTCCTCATATGACAACCCCTCCATCCCAGGCATCATTCTAAAAGCGCTGCTCTGAACCCTTTCAAACAATTCAATGTCTTTCCTAAAGTAACGAGCCCAAAACTAACAATATTCCAAATGTAGCCTAACCAGTGACCTATGCAATGAAATTATAACCTCTTTAGACTTGTATTAGATATTTCTGTAGATGCAACCTAAAATCCTATTTGCCCTACCATTAGTAACAGCACACTGTTTGGATGGCTTAAGAGACTGATCAACCAGTACCTCAAGATCACTTTCTTTCATAACATATTAAGGTCTTGGGTGTTGCTAGTTGTGAAAGGATGCTGCTGCTTTACAAAAAGATTTAAATAATTTAGTGAACTGGGTGAATAAATGACAAATGGATTTTAATTATAATATATGCAAAATAATGCATGTGGGTTATCATAATTTGAATTATAACTATAATTTGGATGGGAATAACCTTAACAGTGTCATTAAAGAAAGGGATCTTGGTTGATCATTCTCGAAAGCCATCCAAGTAGTATGCTGTTGCTAGTGGTAGGACAAATAGGATTTTTGGTTGAAGCTACAGAAATGTTGAATACAAGTGCAAAAAGATTATAATTTCATTGTATAGATCACTGGTTATGCCACATTTGGAATATTGTGTTCTGTCTTGGAAAGACATCGAATTGTTGGAAATGGTTCAGAGAAGGGTAACTAGAATGGTGCCTGGAATGGAGGGGGTTGTAATACGAGGAGAGATTGAAATCTTTCAAATAGTTTTCTTATGAAAAAAAGAATTAGAGGGGATCTGATTGAAGTGTTTAAGATTGTAAAGGGTATTGATAGTGTTGATGCATCATCTTTTTTTATACTTAATAGTAAGAATAGTAGGCCACAAATATAAATTTTGGCAGGGTACCAGTCATCTTCAGCTAAGACAGTTTTATTTTTCTAACTGAGTGATTAGCCTTTTGAATGGGTTGCCTTTGGATGTTGTGGAGGTAGTAAATTTAAAGAAAGATTGATAAGTATATGAATGGTAAAGGCTGGCTTTAAAATCTTTAAAAAAATTTCTTGATTAATAGTTTTAGTTTAGTGTAGAGAATGGAACAACCGAGATGGACCAATAGGTCCCATACTGTCCCAAAACGTTATGTTATTAATGATGGCTATCTTTTTCAGAAATAATAGTAAAATTAAAATGTTTGGTAATATCTGATAAAGTTTTGAATCTATTCGATCATACAAATGAAATACATTACAAGTCAAAACTACTCAAAATATTAGCTACACTGTGTTTTTTCATTTCGAATGAACAATAAACTGTGATTTCATATCAGAAATAAAGATTGAGTCATACAATCTATGAATATTTCAGTTGTCTTAAATGCAAGCTAATCCTTCACCATCACCAGCGAAAACAGTGGGTCCACCATGTTTTCCCTGGTGTTATGTAGGTTCTATGGGTTATATATCTCTGGGTCTTTCTCTAAAGTTTATGAATATTCCAGTTTAGGATCAAGCTTTATCTATTCTTTACCTACATTAAGAAAACACAGATATGCTGTATTTATTTTTCAATGTGGTCTAATGTAGTCACTGTGGTTCTTTACCAAGCATACCGCATCTTAATATTTCAAGCCAAATTCTTTATTAACTTGAAAAGTTACACTTTTGTCTATAGTACATTCGTGTACATAATTAAATATTCACAAACTGGTTCAATTATCCAAAGGAAAACACGCTTGTGCTGTATCCATCATATCACAACAAAGGGTTTTGCTGCACAAAATGCTACCATTTAGCATCTGGTCTGGTTTCCACACCAACCGACGTCAGCATCAGTTGCGGTGTTCACGTGTGCGAAACACATGTAGGCTTCAGGCACTGCCTAAAGAGTTAGATTTACTCCAAAGCAAATGATCTCACAAAAATAAAATGCATCACGGACAGAAATAAGCAGAGATGGCCTATTCTGCTATAAACATCCATTCAGATCACATTCATGTTGTAAACTGCAAAATACACTCATATACGTACAGTTCAAAATAGTGGGTGCACAAGGGATGACAACAAATTACTTTTGCCATTATAACATAGCTATCAACCTTACTTGCTATGTGTGTCCCACTTGCACTGCCATCTAATGATCGTAAAATCTCACTAAATTAGGTTGAAACAAAAACAGCTAAGATGAAAGTCTAACAAATGTATACAAATTTTAAATGATTTATACAGTTTATGTTAATTTATCCTGGTATGTTAAAGCACAGGTCTCTAACTGCAGTACAGGAAGATTGGTAACAACTATGTTATCAGGGAAAATCTTGCATAGTGACACAACAGAATGTCATGTTAATTTACACAAAAGATAATGAGTTTGTTCAGAAAATTGAAACTATGCAAATGCCTTCCAACATTTACCATAGAACCTAACGTGGGTATTCAGAAAACATAGAATACAAGGTCCTCGCAACAAGTTGGTTTATCAGAATTTCCAATCATTATTAACAGTTGAATCCAAATGTCAATTACCTAGGATCCTATATAACAACTTAAGCTGTGTATCTAGCAGGTTTTGCATGGCTGCTCAAATGATATTCTGTTACAACTCAACTGGATAGATTTAGCAATTATCACAACCAAATATTGCTCGATAGCTCGGAAAGTAAGGGTCACAACACCTTTTTAGTTGTCGATTTTTCAACTAACTAACCATCCTAACTGTACAATAATTAGGTGACTATCAAATAATGTACTGCATAGACATCCTATCGTGAAACACAACTTTATATCTCAGAAATTAAGGGTCAACTCCCTTTTTATGATCAGTATGATGATTAACTTGTCATTCTAAATGCTGATAAAGCAGTTAATCCCCGCCATAATGATTAGGAGGTGAATAGCAGCATCTTGGTTGATCATTGCAAACAACCAGATATGTACTATCCATGTCTTCTTCTCATCAGTTGAAACAAGATCATACAACAAAATACTTTCATTATCAGAGGTAACATGCTTATTTAGCACCAATCCATGTTGTGACTAGTTCTCAGTGTGTAACTTACCAGTTTGTTGACGATTTCGACATACTTAACACACCAGGCGACTGCTATAACTCGTAGTTCACTTTATTGAGCTGCCAAAAAACAAGATTTGCACCAGTCTAACCGGAAATGAGTTATTTACATGCTGCAAGTGCATAGCACAACTATAATTATTCATAAGGTTTGAACTTTTTTATGTTACTGTTTTGTCATAGTATCTCTTTTGCCATACGGTTGCTTTACCCATTTAGTGTTGTGTGAATTAAAGTGCATCAACTATTGCAGAACACAACTGCTCCTCATTCCATAGGAACAGTTAACCAAACTGTCAGACTGAAGTGTGAATTTACAAACTAACTTTAAAA